ACCACCTCAGTTCCCAAAATCAGATGAGTAGGTCAAGAAATTGTGGTATATATAAACAATTTTAGTCTACTCAGCATTCAGAAAAGATAAACTTATGTTGTTTGCAGCTGTATGAATGGCATTGGAAGGGGTAATGGTAATGAAATTAATCAGAAAGAGAAAGATAAATATTGGATGGAGTTACTTGTCTGAGCCCGCAGACTGGTCAACGAGGTTCTCGGGGGGGAGAGCAGCGACCTGAAGAACAGGGGTACACCACGGAGGGAGACACGTACACTCTCAGTTCGGCTAAAGCATGTCTCATTTATTTTCGGTTTCAGCGGGGCTTTATAACTGGGGAAAAGCGGAAGAAGCAGGCCAACAGTGCCTAGCCAATGATTACACACATGACCTTATTTGGTGCGCTGGAGGTTGTCATGCGCACTGGACCGAAAGGAGCACAACTAATCCCAGAAGGAGGAAATGTCCCGATGTCACAGGGCAAGGCGCCAACAGTTACTTATATGTGAACTATAGAAAAAACAAAATAAACCTTAGACAAAACAAACTTTTAAACCAACACTTGAAATCTAATGATAGATCTGAGGCCTTCAAAGAAGAGGGGTGGCGAGAATAGTGGGGGGCTACAAAATTGTTTGGAGGATTACCAGGGGATTTTTCAGTCATGGGAGTGGAACAGTGACTACAACTGAGGGGGGGGGAATCCTATACTTTCTTTCTTTTTTTAAAGATTTATTTATTTATGCATAAAAGAACTGGGGTATGGGCCAGAGGCGTGGGAAGTGAAAGGACACACCAGAGGCAGAGTGGGGAACAGAAGAGGCAGTTAGACTGAAGTACACTGCTGAGGGGAGCAGCGACCGAGTCAGGAGAGGTCTGCTGCACATGTGGGTAGCTCCCTGGCTGAAAATCGAACTCATGCTTCAGAGGTTGCAGACAACTTCATATGCTGCATCTTAACCCCTTGCACCACCAGGAAGGCCCAAATCCTATACTTTCAAAACACTGGTGAGAATTGAAAATAAAGTGTTCTTTTAGAGTGTACAACTTTTCTTTTAGCTTAGGAATTTGCAGAATCTAAGAAACTAAAACTAACGCTTTGTGAGAACTACATATCAACCATTTATCATGACATTGTGATAAATAAAATAACTTCATTCAAGTTTGGTGGTATTTCCTCATGGGGACAGGATATATATTTTCAATGAATGAGAAAAAAATTTACACATGGATATTGGACAGGCAAAGAGGTATTTTCACTCTTAGAGAGTTAAGCTTCATTATTTTTTCCAGGGATTCAATTCAAGAACTCTTTTATTATGAAAATGGTTATTTTGCAATGTTTTCTGTGTGTAATGAAGCAAAGTAAATCAGAGACTCTCAGTTCCTACCCAAAGCTGGTGATCAGTTTTTGAAACTAACAGTGTTGCCAAGAAATCCAAGCTCAGCTGCCTGCCACTCATAAATCAAACATGAGACAAGATTTGGAGTTAAGAGGCCCTCCCTGGTGGCACAGTGGGTTGAGCTTAGCACTGAGGAACTGTCCTCAGCCTCTGCAGTGGGTTCAATTCTCGGCTGGCCAGGGAGATACCCACTGGCACTGCAGACCTCTCCTGTCTCATTCACTGCTCTCCTCAGCAGTGCTTTAGGTGTGTCTGCCTGTTCTATTCCTGCTCTGTATCTGGTGAATTTTCTCACCCTCCCGCACTTCTGGCCCATACCCTAGTTCTTGTACAAATAAATAAATCTTAAAAAAAAAAAAAAAAAGAGTTGGAGTTAGGAAATCTAAGTTTATCCAGTTAAGTGGTACCTCTGAGGACATGGTGGGCCCACACCCTCGAGCATCATCGGGAAGTTGGATCTAAAGGTACGAGTTTCATAAGGAAATCTTGAGGAGAAGCTGAGTTTTGTCTGGTCAGCATGACTATTTATGTTCTAGCAATTAGCTCAGATGTTCTTAAGGTATCCTGGGTTGCATCTCCATGATTTATCTGTCAACAGAAAAGCTCACCCAGGAGTGCTACAGGTTTGCTTAAGGCCTTTTTGTGGCGTTAACATGCTGTCCTTCTGGGGACAAACTTAGCATTCTAAAGACTGCAGTAATGATTAACCAAGTTTGATGTCTTTTTCGTGTTTTGAATTTTGGTTTTGTAACATCAACAAAACTTTCTGAACACTGTAGACTCTATTTTAGGGTGAAATAGCCAGCCACTTATGGCATTAAGAAATCTTTGATTCCCCTGATTGTTAAAAAAAAAACTCCATTATTGTTGTTTCCTGAATTATGTGGTCTTGAAATTATATGAATGGATTAACAACTCCAGAGAGTGACCTATACTCTTTTGGAACTGTCTTTGTTTGGTAGACTTTAGCTCCCATGGGCCTTTGCTTCCAATGGACTTTGGGGAGAGGAATTGACTCTTTTGATAGTGTTTTTTTTTTTTTTTTAAGCAACCATTAACACTGACACATAAACTTTGTTCATGCATAAATTTGAAATAAATGTATTAGTAAAATAGTGGTAGTAAAACATATGCCAAACATAAAGAAAACTATGCTATATTAGTGTATTTTTACCTGTGCAAGGCAATATTTATGTTTTACTAGTTGTGACTGAAAGCAAATCTCCCTGTTTAGTTTTCCATTTCATTTTATATTCTGCATGTCATAACTTCCCAGGCATTTGTTTCCTTGATTTTTTTTAAGACTTTTTTTTTTAATATTATTTTTTGTTTATTTATACAAGCACTGGGTACAGTGAGAAGCGTGGGAGGGTGAGAGAATTCACCAGAGGTAGAGCGGGGAGCAGAGCAGGCAGACTGACGAAACACACTGCTGAGGGGAGCAGTGGGTGGCAGGAGAGGTCTGCGCGGCATGTAGGACCCTCCTACGGTGGCCGGGGAGCAGCTGGGGATCGAACCGGCGCTGCAGAGGCTGAGGGCAGCTTCACCACCCAGCGCTCAATGGCTGTGCCACCAGGGAGGCCCTGTTTCCTTGAATTTAAATATATAATTTGTCTAAGTTCAAATAACATCTTTAGAACAATTCAAATATACAATTTTCCTAATTTAAAAATAGAATACATTTCTGATTACTTTCTATCCATATGCAAATCATTTATTTTAATGGAATTTTATTTTAATTTATACTATTAGTAATTATGTCATTGGGTTTTTTTTAAATATTTTATTTTATATAATTCTTACATCTTTTTTCATTTTTGCACAATGTATGCATTTTCATTTTGGTTATATTCCCCACACAATAGCACCCCGCCTTATTTTGACCCTAATCCTTCCTCTCCCTGCCCCCGCCCCCGTAGTGTGTCTCTGGTTTATACTTGCTTGTTGATTTTGATTTTTACTTTGTATTAATTAGTCTTTCCTGGTCCCTTATTTAGGTTTTCTAAATCCCTGCTATGAGTGAGACCATCCAGTATTTTTCTTTTTCTTTCTGACTTATTTCGCTGAACATGATCCCTTCTAGCTCCATCCATGTTACTGCAAATTGCATGTGTTTATCTTTTTTGATTGCTGAGTAATATTCCATTGTGTATATGTACCACCTCTTCTTGATCCAGTCATCTATTTTTGGGCATTTGGGTTGCTTCCATAGCTTAGCTATTGTAAATAGTGCTGCTATAAACATAGGGGTGCAGGTGCCCTTTGGAATTACTGTTTCTGTGTCCTTTGGGTAAATACCTAGGAGTGGAATTGCTGGATCATATGGAAGCTCTATCTTTAGCAGGTTGAAGAATCTCCACACAGCTCTCCATAATTGCTAGACCAGTTTGCACTCCCAACAGCAGTGCAGGAGAGTTCCTTTTTCTCCACAACCTCACCAACATTTGTTGTTGCTAGTTTGTTTGTTTGTTTGTTTGTTTTTATAATATGTGCCATTCTCACTGGTGTAAGATGGTATTTCATTATAATTTTGATTTGCATTTCCCTGACTACAAGTGATGCTGAACTTTTTTTCATATGCCTTTTGGCCATTTCTCATGCAAATCATTTAATATCACAATATTTGTATAATATGAAAAATTCCAAGTCAAATAAATAATCCTCCTCAAAATGTATTGTTAGAATGATGTTAGTATAAGATAAACTCTAGATGTCAATTGTAATCAAGATAAAGGAATGGAATAGATATGCAAACTCATAAATTCACATTAGCTTGCCTATTTTATAGGTTACTTCAAATTTCATTATCTATATGTCATATATCATAAATTTATTTCATAAACCATTTATTCGTTTACTCTTTGATCACATTATTTTATTTTAATAATTATTTTTTGAGAAAATACTGTTATAAAACCCTGTATATAATTTAGAATTATAAGTTCAAGACCTCTTCAAATGGGTTTGTTACTCTCTCTACCGCACTTAATTCCAATGTACCAATAACCCTCCACCATAGTTTATAACACTTAAATGCAGACATTAATCTTATTATACATACATGTATGTAAATATATGTCCAATGCTTAAAAATATTTCATTGGATGATCAAATGTTGTGTAGTGTAATGTTGTAGCCACTGGCCACTGGCCTCATTTGACTATTGAGATCTTGAAATGCATTGCATTCAATTTGCTGTGTTCTCTGATTAAGAAATATAAGCATGGTTATGAAGATATAATAAAAGCAAAATAGTTGAGTTAATAATTTATGCCACTTTTATATAGAAATGGTAATGTCAATATAAATAAAATTACATGCTATAGTACACATATGAACTTAGGTCATTAAATATATTTATGACATAATATAATAATGATAAAATCCATCATTAACACCAAATACATTGATATAAATATTTATTATATGAAATGAAAAAATCAGCTACTATTTAGATTAATTTCACTTTTAAAATAGGGCTACTAGAAATATTAAATTACCTAGATGGCATCTATTACATTTCAACCACACAGCGAGGGTCTAGGATTTTCTACTTAGAAGCGAAAGAAAAATAAAGGTGAGTGACAACAACCATGGTTATTTCTTCTTGGAGAACAATAATGGAAGCACTCTTATCATGGCTCCCAGGACTTCCTTATTCCTCAGGCTGTAGATAATGGGATTGAGCATGGGGGTCAGAATGGTGTAGAAAACGGCCAGAATCTTATCTTCTTCAGGTGAGCGGAAATTCCTAGGCCTGAGATAGGTGTAGATAAAAGGTGCATAGTAAAATGTCACCACAGTTAAATGTGTTGAACAGGTGGTGAAGGCCTTCTTTCTTCCCTCTTTGGAGCGCATATGGTAGACAGCAAAAAGCACTCGACCATAAGAAGCAATGATTCCAAGGAAAGGAATGAGGAGAAATAAAATTGTGCTCACAAAAACCAAGTACTGATACACCCAGGTGTCCATACAAGCCAGGGGCATCATGGCTGGGATATCACAGAAGAAGTGATCAATGGCCCTGGACTGGCAGTAAGGAATATGGAAAGCATAGACCGTGTGTGCAAAAGAGTTGGTGATCCCCAAGACCCAAGATCCTATAATCATCTTCACACACATTTTTTTACTCATGTGGATGGGGTAATGGAGGGGATGGCAGATGGCCACATATCGGTCATAGGCCATAGAAACCAGAATTAAACCTTCAGAACCTGCCGTAGTTGCGAAGAAGAAGCTCTGAATCCCACATCCTAGGAAGGAGATACCTTTCTCACCAGAGAAGAAGTTGACCACCATCTTGGGAACAGTGGTAGAGATGGACATCAGGTCCATGAGGGAGAGCTGGCTTAGGAGAATGTACATTGGAGTGTGGAGCCTGGGATCCAAGTGTATGAGGTGAATCATGGTTGAATTTCCCAGTGAGGCGAGAAAGAATATGAAGATGATCAGGAGTAAGAGAAACAAGCCAGTTTGATTTGGGGAAATCAATCCCAACAAAATAAAATCATTGGAAGTTTGATTCCATGTCTCCATCAAAACTTACTGCTTGTTAAACTTTGTTGAGAAAAAAATAAAAACAAAAAAACAAAGTCTGGAACACAAAAGAAATAAAGCAGTTGCATAGAAAGGAAATCTGACTTTCTAATTTTATTTATATATTTATGCATTTATTTATTTTAAAAGATTTATTTATTTATTTATTTATTTATACAAGTACTGGGTGCAGTCAAAAGCGCGGGAGGGTGAGAGAATTCACCAGAGTCAGAGAGGAGAGCAGAGCAGGTAGACTGACGAAGTATACTGCTGAGGGGAGCGGCGGATGGCAGGAGAGGTCTGTGTGCCAAGGGGGACCCTGGCCCAGTGGCAGGGGATTGAAGCAGTGCTGCAGAAGCTGCTGGCAGCTTTGCAACCCAGCGCTCAACCACTGTGCCACCATGGAGGCCAGACTTTCAAATTTTAGTGAAGAATAAATTGGTTTCATTGAATATGACACCTTGCAGTAAATTCTTTATTAGCAAATTGAATGCTTCTCTGGAAGCTATATCTGCTAGCAACTCAACACTTCAATTTTAGGTAGAAAGCCTAGTATCACAGCCAGCACAGGTAACAAGACCAATAAAGCATTCTTCTCTAGATAATCATGCCCAAAAACATAGCTTTTTTTTTTTTTATTTAATCCAGGGGGTTTATTTATTTGTTTTGATTTATCAAGGCAGAGAAATGGTCGCCTTCCTCTTGGGACATTATTTTCACAAGCACATTGAAAGGGAAATGAGCACAAATAACTCCAAATCTTTCTATATATACATTTTTTTAAGATTTATTCATTTATTTATACAACAACTGGGGTATAGGCAAAAGGTGCGGGAGGGTGAGAGAATTTACCAGAGACAGAGCAGGTAGCAGAAAAAGCAGAATAATGGAAAACACTACTGAGGGGAGCAGCAGGCAAAACAGGAGAGGTCTGCAGTGCCATGTGGGTTTCTCCCTGGCCCGCCAGCAATCAAACCCACACTGTAGAGGCTGTGGACAGCATCACAGTGTTGTGCTAAACCTGCTGTACCACCAGGGAGGCCCTCTATATAAATTCTAAGTCCTGGGTTACTTTTCCATTCTCTGTCTTTATTTGGCCTTATTTAGTTCAATTGGCCTACTCTACTGGCCTCATTTCAGATAAGTAAATGTTGATTTCCTGCCTTTCCTACTCCACATTTTGCCATTCCCAAAATTGTGCCAACCATCCAAATACACTGTTCTTGAACTATAAAGTCACTAAATATTCTTTAAGAGGCTCTCTAATTATAGAATATTATGTGAATATTCTCTCTTCTATTATGATATTTCCATCTCCTGATGAACTAGAGCTCCAATAAAGGGTGCAGATGGCCCGTGGCATCTTCTTCATGTAGCAGAATTACACATGACAAAGGTCATAGCTTATGGATTCTGTATTCATCTGTTGTTGATGCTTCTTATGAGAATTAAGTTAATATCAATGCAAATCAGTCTATTATTGCATACATTTGAAGACTTGGTATTTCATCATAAAATGTTTTTCTTCCTCTTCACACAGTGACTGTCATAACACTCCTCTGACATTTTATCTGGCTGATAAAATGAACATAGTTTTGCTTTTTTTGAAACTTAATATGATAATTTATCTGATAAATCAAGAACAGTTCAGTTCAAGAATCAGTTTTTTAGTATATTTGGCCTAGTTAGGTATTTTCTCATTAAGTGGTTTAATCTAGGTAAAAACAGAAAGAACAATATGTCCTGGGAACTGATTTTCAAGAGCAAGCACTCAACAAATAGTTCCAACACTGTTCTTTGGATTTATTTGTTCAATATGAAAATTATTTAATGCTGAAGTTACATGAGTCACCCTATTCTTTCTTGCATAAAATAGAAAATATTTTCCTGTGACTGCAATTTGTGTCCATATTCATGTCTCCTTTGCTCATATTAAAAAAATATATTACTGACATTTATACCATTAAAAGCAATTTATAAGACCTATATTTATACAGAATTTTAAATAAATTTAACAAACTCAGTGGGCTAAATTTATTTTTCAAAAGTTACAATATCACGTGCACTATATATATATATTTTTAAAGATTTATTTATTTATTTATACATACAAGAACTGGGGTATAAGCCAGAGCTGTAGGAGGTGAGAGGATTCACCAGAGAGAGTGGGGAGAACAGGCAGATCTACTGAAATACACTGCTGACGGGAGCATCAGACAAGAAAGGAGAGGTCTGCTGAGTAATGTGGGTTAGCTCTCTGGCCTGCCAGGGATCAAAATTTTGCTTCAGTGGCTGGAGACAGCTTGAGAGCAGACTTTAACCCCTGTGCCACCCAGAGGAGTCTCATGTGCACTTTAATCTTATAGATGGGCCTCCCTGATGGTGCAAGGGGTTAAACACAGCACTGTGAAGCTATCAGCAACATCTGCCTCATGAGTTTGATACCCAGCCAGCTAGGTAGATAACCCATATGGAGCAGCAGACCTCTTCTGTCTTGCCCACTGCTCCCCTCAACAGTGTCTTTCAGTCAGACTGCCTGTTCTGTTCCCCACTCTGCTATGGTGAGTCCTCTCACCACAACCCCCACACCTCTGGCCTGTATCCTAGTCCTTGCATGCATAAATAAATAAATATTTTAAAATAATAAAAAATAAATAGTATTACAGATAATCAGCTGAAGACCAGTAAGATATTGTTTCTCTAAACTTTAGCTGTGGATGGCTGTGAAGATGGAATTAAGAGTTTTGTGTGTTTTGCGCATAACAGGTCATCAGTAGGCATCAAATTATTTGTTTATTCCACCTACACCATTGAACAACCTCAAATCCAGAGAAATTAAATGTCTTCATTAAGACCATACACAAGTCTAGATCTGCACAATGTACACTTCTATCTCACTTCTATCAGGATCCTATGATTTCTCTCTCTCTATCCCTTACTCTCCTCTCTCTCCCTGGCATTTACATGTATTTTTGGCTTTTCCAACTACTTACATATGTCCCTATTTTTTGAGTAGAAGAAAATGCTCTCCTAAGATTTGGAAACACCATCTCCAAGGTATCTACATGATAAAGCTAAAACAAATCAAACATTCACTAATATTACTATGACTCACCTTGTCCAAAGTTCAGGAATTTTTATCTTGAAAAGAAAGTAGGTTTATAATGACATAATTTCCTGGTGACAGTCCATTGAATTAACTCACGTCTTTAGGCACAAAACTTGGTTGACATGCCTCTCAGGGTTTACTGCAAGATCTTGTCACTGACCAATAGATTATGTCAAATCAGAACTTTCTTTATGACATGAGAACTTCTGTAGTTGCTAAATATTATGATAAATTTCAAGGGATATTTTTTGACATCTGTTCCTCACTGCTCAGTCAGCTTATAAAGCATAAAGCTTAAGTTCACACTTAAGGTCTTGTTAGAATTTGTTGGAATTCCTAGTGAACTATTCACTGTTTGTATATGTATTTGTTAAAATATCTTCCTTTCTTCTTGCTTTATTCCAGCATAAAACATTTCACATCTATTTCTCTCCATTTTCACTGTTGGAAGTCGGAATGATGAGTTGCTACATTTTATTTATATAAACATACACCTTCAAGACATAGATTGTCCTCTTTCTCCTATAATTGATCCCTAATGTCCCAGTCCATGGGGGACAAATCTTGATCATTGCACTCGACTCTGGTTATTTTCTGCACTTATTTATAGGAAGAAAACCAGACTGATTAATGCTGTTGATTTCTGCTGAAGCCCCATGTTAGAACAAAGTGGAATGTACTGGATTATTCCAGAACATTATTTGAGCTCTATAAAGACAGTCAGATATTGTTTTTTGACATCATCTCATTTCATAACTTAGAGGACTAGAGTACAGTAACCCTTTCTAGAGTTCACAAACATGATAGAATAAATAGTATTAGCAACAGTTTTCTGTCCACTGTCCACTAAATTTGCAGGGGAGATTATTGGTGATTATGCCTAAATATTTTTATACCAAAAACACTTTTATTTGAAGAGGGTTAACACAATTGATCTGTGAAATTATAAATCAAATCAAATGTTATATTGAAGTGGTAATTTTCCTTTTATTATAGCATGATATAGCAAACATTAGAACTCAGATGGAAAAGTCTAGCCATTAGAGAATACTGATTAAATTAGGCTGTTGCAGAGGAAATTGTGTAAGATTACAGCTTTTTTTTTCAATCTCTAAAGTTTTCTAAAGACTCTTGTAGTTTAAATGGGGGTGATCTAAAACAATTGTTTATATTGCATCTGCTGCAAAAGAAGGTGTCAAGATTTAGGACTCAATCTATCCCATTCTATCCATAGATTTATATCAGAGCAATATGCATTAAAGAAATACTGTAAACTTGCTTTTGTTAAAATGCCAACACCTAGTCTAGGAAAATATGATAAAACATTATTTAACACAATTTTACTCAATTCTTATCAATTTCTTCTATGTATAAATCTTTATAAATATGACAAATACAAAACTAGAAAAATATTTCTACTACTTAACAAATGGGATTATGATGAGTTATAAACTTAGATATATTTTGAGTTGTAGCTGTTAGTCATGTACTAATAACATCTTCCTTTCTATAGTGTGGGCCCCTTTTGCATTTACCTAGTATAACTCCTGCCCAGTTAAATCTACTCTGAGCTTGGATCAAGCTCTTAAAATCCATTTGGGACATTAAAACATGATTGGACAAAACCCAGAACCATACTTATGAATTTCACTTCAGATACATGAACAAAGATTATAAGTAGGATCCCTCTGTAATATATGGGATTTCCAGGTGGCACAGAAGTTAAATACAGAATTATCAAGCTATTGTCAGCCACTGCAGCTGTACAATTTCATCCAAGAACCGTACAACTTCACTGAATACAAAACAAGCTCTTATGTAGCATCTTACTTATGGGATTCTAGAGTATATGGTTTCTGACTGGTAGATGGGATTTTATGGGAATAAAAGA